ATATGGTTAAGTCAGGAACTCTACTCTGATGGGCCCCTCGGGAGAGATAGTATCAAACCCTGGACAAAAGGGATAATCGTCATTTTCCATTTCCTGTCCGAACAGGCACACGGAAGTGGTGGAGCCTCTCTTTTGCCAGGGTTAATGCAACTAGAGCATGAAGGTGGCCACTCACTTCCCAAAATCAAGAATAAGAGAGCTTGCCCTCATGCCTTCTTTAGAAGTTCACGGCAAGTATCAATCAGCATACCATACAAAAGTTATAAAACAGCAATTACTAATAAAGAAGTAGCTTCATTTGCAATGTTCTGCTCATAACAAGCATTCCATGGTGCAGAACCCTTCTTGTGAAGCTGACAGTCACTCGCCTCATCGAATTCATCACATTTTTATGAGATCGAAAGGTTCATTACTATGTTCACAAGAGCTCTCATGCATTTCAATATTATCTTCCCATTTATGCCTAGGTTTCCTGAGTGGCCTTATTCTTTAGATTTTCTGATTAAAATTCTATATGCATTTTTCATATCATCACGCATTCTATAAACTGTGGCCATTTCATTCCCCTTGATTTGATAATTCCAATATTATTTGATGAAGACTACAAATTATGAAGTTCCTCATTACATAAGTTCTCTCTTGTTACTTTTCCTTTCCTCCTCTCTCTGGTCCAAATATCCTTCTTCATGCTTCAGTCCCGAACACCCTTAACCTAAGTTCATAACAGGTACATTAAAAACCAGACATATTTGTTAACTGGATACATTAAATCAGGAGACAGATTTTCTACATTTCAGCATCAATAATCAATAATAATTCTACTTTCAAATTAACTTCTTGCAGATCGGGTGATAATCATGACAATATACATAGACAGCTTTAACTTTACAGCACTTGATGGTAGAGGACAGCATCATGCATACTTCTGACCCACAGATTTCCCACACTTAACTCCCTCTAGCTTCAGTTTACTGTTAGAACTGAGAAGTATACCAAATAAATGATAATTTTCAGCTTCAGTTTAGTTCTAGATCTGAGAAGTATATAAAATAAATGATAATTTTCAGCTTCAGTTTAGTTCTAGATCTGAGAAGTATACCAAATAAATGATAATTTTCAGCTTCAGTTTAGTTCTAGATCTGAGAAGTATATAAAATAAATGATAATTTGCAGAGGAAACACCCAAAATACAGCAATAAACCAAAAGTGTACCGGGGGGGGGAGAAATAAAGAATTATCAAGGATGTTTTACCAGATTTTATTCAACAATCACTTGAGTTTCTATTTTTTGTCCACAGAAATGCAAGAAAGAAGTTAAACAGAGCACAGAATAGTATGGAATGGTCTTATGTAACTATGAATGTACTTGGACGCTTTCTTACTAATTATTTACAACCCATTTTTATATTAAAAGTATAATCAGTCTTAATAAATTCACTTAATGTGGTAGAAGAGCTGAAGAATGTCTTGCTGATGAAGGGAGAATAGTCTCTAAGAGCCTAAGTAATCTAAACTGCTATTGGTACACCCCTACATGGAATGCTCTGGAGCATTTCAGATTTGGATGCATTATTAATTCACAAAACAAGTATATTAAGTGTACCAGTCCCCAGTCATACTGAAGTCTTATCAAGATTATCCTGTTTTAAGCACATAGTGTGTCTTCCTTCACTGAAGTGAATGGCCAGCTTCACGCTCCAGCTGCTTTACCCCACTGGAAGAATCTAAAGTGCACCGGACAGAAGGCTGGGTGGGCCTCAGGGTCAGTGTGGTTACAGAAGCAAAGGAAAATATCTCTGGCCATGTCAGGAATGAAACTCTGCTTGTCCAGCCCATAGCCTGGCCACTACACTGAGAACATCCGATCTCGCGCATTGCATTTAAAGTGAAGGAAAATGGGGGGGGGGGAAGAAAAACATTAAACTCTTGTTCAGGTTAACCAAAGTTGAATAAGATCAAACACAGTGTCTTTCTGAAAATTTTAACTCCATTACACATAAACTGCAGCCATCCAAATAAAAATCTATAAAAAATGCTTACTTTAAGATAAACAGGGTTCTGGATTTCTGCCTAACAAAACAATAATTTTAACATTAATTTAGTTGTTACACTATGTGGTTGTGGGTAATGATACCAGCATTTCAAAGTTACAAGCTGCCTTCATCTTATGGTTAAAATGTGTAGGTTGGTGAGTTGCTGTGTATATATACATAGCATTCTCTTGTTCTGGAAATAAATGGTGGAAGAGGGGCCTGAGTGTAGATTAGTGCCTTGTTCGGGCCAGTAGGAACAGTTGACTGGGAAAAGTTGTGCAGTCAGATCATTTCACATAATGAAGCATCATTCATTTCAATGGCTGCATTCTTCTGCCCTCTAGCTTAAGAAATGTAAAAGGTTGCATCTGCACAGCGAGGCACGCACTCCGTGGTCATGTGACGTGGATATTTCACAGGGCTAATAAAAATGGCTTCATATAGTGCATGGGGCTTTCTATAATAGTTTTAAATAAAGTTGTGGACTTTGGTCAACATGTGACATAGTGATAAGACTAGGATAGTGAATTATATACTTTTTTAGCCATATTGGACAACCCTGATTTAAATGGACTCTTCCCCTGTGAAAAATACTGAATAATTCAACATTTTTGCAACTTCTGCTGCCTGTTCCATGTCTGAGGTAAGATTAGTTACATTTTATCACAAATTTTCATACTTTGCACTTAAATTATTTATAAAAGATTTATTCAGAAATAATTCAGCACAGAGGTACTGAGAGTTACTTAACATAGTAGCAGTGAAAGGGTTAATGGTCACCCACCGAAGTGCTCGCTAAGCAAAATGTTACTTAACTTTGCTGTGGGTCAAGCGGAATGAAGAACAGTGGGGAGGTCACCGTGAGTTGATGGTAGATTTTGGAAGGGATGGGAGGGATGAAGCAAGCATGATGAGTGGACTGGGAAACTGCAAATGGCATCATCCCCCACAACCACATGGTGTAACAACCAAAGAACTGAATTAACATCAATAACTAACCACTGCAAAAACCAAACATTGGCAATAAATAATTTTGACAATATGCAAAGATAAATGCATTGTACCATTATCACCTTAAACAATAACATATTTTACTGTATTTTTAAAAAGGAGATTCAAAATCTGTTACAAACTAAACTCTGTAAACTATTCTTTATACTACTATACCAGAGGAAATAATGGGGTTAAGTTTTATGCCTCTTCCCAGAATAAACAGCAGAATTATCCAAATGTGCTACTTCAGTAGATGTGAATTTCACATAGATAAACTGCCCGAAAATAAAAAAGTGAGTTTCCCAAGTCATTGAATAACACTGTAACATAAAATAAAACTTCTGTATTCCATGATGAACATCAGCCATTTCCATATGCCTTACAGCAGTAAATATGAGTACTGTCAATATTAGGAGAACACATGCTACTCTGTAATGAATATTATCATCATGATACGATATCAGACATCACCACTCACAGAATTCCAACACAAAAATAAAAGGTATCTCCCATAACAAAAGTAAGGCCTAAAATGCCACAATTATTAAATAATTTATTTCAAAGGAGCCATAAATATAAACCTCTAAAACCTGGGCACTGTCCAACATCCCCCAATGTTTACCTTTGATTCTTGCAATGAACCTGATTAGAACAAAGGGCCAACAACTACCAGTATAATATTTGGGGAATTTAATTATGGAACTTAGATTTACACTATTTAAATTTATTCCAAATATTCAGACTATGTACTTTTCTCTTAAAATTACTTACAAATCATGTAAGAGTATCTTTATGTGATTACTCTTTCAAAAACCCCTGGCAGTGCTACTGAAAATCTACACATTGATACAATTGCTTAGTGTTTTACATAAAGGTTATGAATAGGGCGCACCAACATCCCAAGAAGACAAGATCCCAAAGTAAAGAAATTAAACGCGGTACTGTGTAATACCATTTTTATATCACTGAAATACCGAAATATCCTCCTAGATCTGTTGTGGCAAATAATATGTAGGCGAAGATTTATGACAGCTTCCTGTGGGTGCAATGGTATAAAGAGACACCTGTCATATGATACCAAGTCTCACAAATATTAATACTGAACAAGACATGACATTCAAAATTCTGTTAGTCCCAGAGTACATTTTATATTTGAATTATCATAATATCTGCATTCTATACAACCACCAAAAGTGCAAATGTAATCCAAAGAATCAAAATAGCATAGTCCATGAATGTAGAAGATAATTTTCTCATGTCCTTCCAACACAATGCAATACTACAATACAAAAGGAAGCACATGATTACCACATGCAATAATATGTAAATAAAAGTTTGACGTTTGATTACTGGTACCAGAAGCCAGTCATCATGACAAATAACCCTTCTAAACTTCTTGACAATTCTTTCATTATTTGAATACAAACCAGGAGAAAATGTACTGGTGAGACTAACAGTACCTGTTACTACACAGTGACAAAGTCCTTGCCCATTCTTGCTCTAGACTAAAAAAAGACTATATAATAAAACCAATGGTGTTTGCATTCCTCATTATCTAAATAATAATAATAATAATAATAATAATAATAATAATAATAATAATAATAATATTAAAGAGATCAAATAATATTGTGATTATTACAAGGCAGATGAGATAAATGCAAGGTGGTTGTAGAGAAATAAATTGAAGTGCTATAATGCAGCTCTATTAAGACTATAGCTGTTTCCATAAGGAACAAAGAGAAAACACACATCACACAAAAATCAGACAGTAGGGCAAGTTTCTCTTCTCTAAGATTTGAGGTTTTCAAGGCGGTGACTATGACGAGAGCAGTCTTCTGGGATGTGGCACCGTGTAAGTATTGTGTTAACCGACATTAAGGAGGAATGTATCACCTCCATCTTCAGGGTAGAAGAAAAAAAGAAAAAATCCAGAAGCGAAGAACCAGCACGAGCAGGTGCAAATAGACTAATGTCGAGAATAAACCCAGCTGCATCGGTTAACACAATACCTACACGGCGCCACATCCCAGAAGACTGCTCTCTTCAAGTTTCTCTTCTGTCAAAGTCCAGTAATTATTAGCAGTGCCATACAATCCTGAACGTGAGGAATGGTTCATTTCCTCATCTATAAGTTCACATCACTGGTTTAAAAACAGAGAAGAGACATCAATTTCAACCAAAACCTTAATTTTCTTACCAATATAACCTGTTTGTGCTGTATGACCTGATTATTCCTCATATACCACGAACACAGGAGCTAAGACATTATAGAACCTTCACAAACTGTTACATCTACCATATATTTATGAAGGTACAGTGTGGTTCTCACAGCAGAAAATGATGTTGTGCATTACTGTACCACTGTATGCTGACTTCAGTACAACCTCCTTGCATGCATTCAAGTTACCCATGACCCAAGATTCTATGTTTAACCCTTCTAGTGCCAGCCTTCCATGATGCTAATATACAAGAAGTGACATGCAACACTGTTTAAATTTTCAAATTTGAAGACAAAGTGGATCTATACATCCACTCCCCATATGCCTTAATGGTGTAATGCTTGATTAGTTAAGCACAAGTATAACTTTACCTTTTACCTCAGTGGCTGCTATGAGTTTGGAGTAATCTTCAGATGTAATATTTTCTACAACAGGCATAATTTTTCAATTCTCCCACAAAGAACTGACACGTTACCTATCCAGAATGGCAGATACAAATATAATACAACTGATTCTAATAATTTCTCTTAATCTGACTGGGCATAGCACTACAAGGGCCAATACAGCTTACAAGAAACATAAGTGAGTATTGGTGACCTTACACAAGCAGTGCCATCACATAGTATTGCTTCATGATATATGAAAGTTTAAAAATAAATAAATACCCATAACATTAAATAATAACAACGTAAGTGTACTTGTCTGAATATTGGTAATAACGGAGTCAGTTACAATAGACAAGAAAACAACATTTTAACAATGGACCAACCTTAAAAAGTCACCACTTATCTAATGACTCCATAACAGCCAAATAAATTAGATACCATACAAGAACTTACTATCATGAATAATGAATAGAAAGTTTCTGAATTTCAATTCAAAGCCCTGTTTTTCCTATAGAATGTTAAGCAAAATATCACTGCATAAGTTACAGTATCTGAGAGACAACAATAAAAGTGTCCATTTCTTCTCCATCCTTTTTGTACGCACTTTTCTATTTTTCCACAGTAAAAAAAAAAAAAAAAAAATATTGCCAGTTTGGGCAGGAGGAGAAGTCAATGAAACTGACTTATAAATTCAAAGGGGCAGAGACAGTACTCAATTGGCCAAATGCTCTTTCCTATGGACATAAATTATAGACAACAAAGATAAAAGCAAACTTTGTACATATGGGCTGTAAAATCACAGCACGCCGAAATATCTTACATACTGCACTCTTTATGCATACTACAAATTTCAATTGCCAAATACAGATATTAACTTATTAATGAGCTATCTCTATTTATTTCAATGTCTCTGTTACTACCAACTCATCCATTAATCTTCAAGCATTCCATTTCATTAGTGCCCACTTATCTTAATGCATCAAACATAATTGACCCAATGTCTCAAAACTATTTTGAAGTGAGACAGATAACCCACATATTGCCACTGCAACATTCATAAAAAGATTGCTTTCGTGAATCATCCAGACAATGGAAAAATGTTTCCTAAATAGAAGAACAAACTGTTCATGCACTTCCGAATTTCCTCAAAATGCTATCACCATATAAATTAAAACACCTGAGGTTAATCACCAGTGCCAGGGAGGAAATGGAGTTGAAGAAGCTGCAAAATATTCCTTTGACCAAGTTGTGGTAGGTTTTCACAAACTATAATCTATGTGGTTCAATTATAGTTTTTTTCTCATCGCACTTGAGCAAAATTTTCAATTTAACTCCTGTGCCAGTATCTCTCAAGTTCATATCTTCTTGCACAGAAGCAATAACCGATGTCTTCACATTGTGAAGAATGGTATCCATACCCCATCCTTCAGTCTTCTTGATATTTCTCTTCTGTTTTACCTATAAGCTCACTGGGGCATATTATTCAACACTACCTTCCACGTGATCAAATCCCACTTCTTGCAGGATTGCTCCTTCTTGATACGACCCTTGTTCATAGAACTCATTACTACTATAACTTCATTTGCTTGTGTTAAATTTACAAAGTCCTGTTTTAACAACTTCGCCTGAAAGAAAAATACATCTTATTTATTTAAATCCAAGTTTTCACAAAATGCAAACCATACTTTTTGTCTTTGCTAATCAAGAATGTACATTACCAGCACATCCAATGCCCAGATTATTTCCAGTAGCAAACATGGATTTCCAGACACATCTCAATTTAAAGGCTTACATTCCTGTAAATCTTGTGTTGTTATATTATAATTATATGATGTAAGCTTAAAATCCAGTAACAGAATGCTAGTTCATGCGTCTGTAGTTATAGAATTATGTTCCAGTGATACAAATATCTGTACTGCATGGAAATGTAAATATTCATATGCAACAGACTGTCATCGTTGTCGGTGTCAGTGTCACTGTCATCATCGTCATCAGCAACGGCATCGTGGTCATTGGTGTTATTGTTAATGTCAATGTTAATTAAGTTGTTGGATGGTGTGTAAGTGAGCAATGTTGCCAATGTTCCAAAGGTACATGCTGCATCCATCTTCAGGGAGGAAGTGTGTAGGTTGGTTCTGTGTGTTAGGTTAGGTTAGATTTAGATAAAAAGAAAAACAAAGCAGGGAAAAACTGGGATTGGTGCTGCATCCAGTTCAATACTGACACTGAACTGGGAAGTTATGAAAGGAAATAAATAGCAGTTTAAGGTGCATGGAGGGCACACCAGTTGCCACCATTTTCTACGGTGCACTCTGTGATGTTTAAAAGGGTTCTTTCTTTCTTTTCAGTGTCCACCTTCCTTATTGGCCCAGACAAGGCACCAACTCCCCCAGGATCTCTTTTCAAAACACAAACGAAATTCAGACACCTTACAACTACTAAACGAAAATTTTCAACAACTACAATGATAGGACCAGAGTCTCACAGTGGTGGTTATAAAGAGCTCTAGCTTCTGGGACATAACATCATGTATGCCACTGAAAGTCAACCAACTTTTCAGAGGAATGTACTGCCTCAATCTTCAGGGTCGAAGAGCAAGGCAAGCAAGGAGCCAACATGTAGCAGACAGCAAGTAAAGACTGCTGGGCTTAATCTTCAACCCTGAAGATGAAGGCAACATGTTCCTCCAAAATGTTGGTTCACTTTCAATAGGGTCATGTTCCAGAAGAAAGAACTCTTCAGCCACTATGATGTTTCTATTCTACAAAAAAATTACCCAAACATCATTAACAAAAATTTTTGGGACGTAGTTATTATTAAATAATTTCAGAACATTTATATTAAGTGGTGCCAGTGTCATTCAAACTTCACAAGTCTGTGTGTTGACCACACTGTTACTAATGATTTCAGGAAGTTAAGAAGATGGGTTGGAATAGCTTCGATGTCATAATGTTCACACCATATTTCATGAAACTAAGTTAAACAGTTAAAACATGTGGGTGGGTGCTGCTAAGCCATCCTTTTTCTTAAGAAAAAGGTACATTAAAAAACAACAATACAGAATTGTATGACATTGAAAATTACGTTGTCAGAAATTCTCTTCGTGTAATGTTCCTGAAAACAGATATGAATATTCACACATAAGTCCTTCATCTCTACCACCACATGACTGTTGCATGTAGCAACCTTACGAGATACATACACTGACTGTGAAAGATCAACATACCACTGATTTAATTACTGGAAAAAAGTACAAAAATTACCAGAACAAGCATTGCAGTACAAACAGGAAGTACGAGGGTTGGAACTTTAATAGTAGCAATACTGCTGTAGAGACACCATGCAACGGAACCAAATAATGTCGCTTATACCACATGTTAGTTACATACCTACCATACCTCAGAGCAATTGGACTCCCCCTTCCCACATCATGTGCATGCGCAGTGACGTGAACAACAGAGCCTCGTCTTAGCTGGCGGTCTAATGTAGTGCTGTCATGATGTTTTGAAAACAGGAACAACGGAGTTGGATAAAGATTGAATATGCCAGAGGCCATACAGCAAGACAGTGTCATCAAGGTCTTCAAGAGGCTTGCAGAGAATCTGCATTGCCTTACAGAACAGTGGCAAGGTGGGTAAAAGCCTTCAACGAGGGATGCCAAAATGTGGCAGACATGCATCGGCCAGGTCATCCTAGTGTCAGTGAAGAAGTGCATGCTCTTTCCGCATTACTGGAAAGTGATCAACACCATACAATTCGTGAGCTGGCCCGAGAGACAGGATTGGCACATATGACTGTGCTTCACTTTCTGAAAGAATGTCTGGGCATGAGAAAAACTGCATCACGATGGGTTCTGCATGATTTGATGGAAATGCAGAAATGGCTATGATATGACGCTGTTTTTAACCACTTGGAGTGCTATGAGGGTGAAGGAGAGACTTTCTTATGCCATATCATTACGCTGGATGAGACATGGGCCAAATCGTACGAGCCACAAATGAAACTCAAATCGAATGAATGGTGTCATTACGGGTCACCACGAAAATCAAAAGTTTGTCAGAACCCAGCAATGTGAAAGTTATGGTGATTCTCGCGTACGACTGTGATGGTGTTATCCTAACACATACCATTCCCCAACAGCAGACCGTGAATGCGCAGTATTACCATTCATTTTTGAAACACAACCTGCGACCAGCTTTGAGAAAGAAGTGGTGACACTTTCTGCAGAACCCACCCATCATTTTGCAGGACAATGCTTGGCCACATAGAGCGCAAGCTGTGGCTGATGTGTTTGATCGATGGGGCTGGAAAGTGCTGTACCATCCACCATACTCCCCAGGCTTAAGCCCTTGTGACTTCGACTTGATTCCTAAGATGAAGGAACCACTTTGTGGCATTCGCTTCAGAACTGTTCCAGAGATTATTCAGGCAGTAGACCATTCCATTTGAACTATCAACACAACAGGCGCTGCTAAAGGTATCCTACGACTTCCATGTCGCTGGCAACGGGTTGTACACAATGGTGGTGACTACACTGAAGGACAGTAAAACTTTGAAACATGCACTTATTTTGTATAAGTTGTAAATAAATAGTTGCCACTATTAAAGTTCCAACCCTCATATGATCAATTATTCGTGTAGAATTTGACACTAATTTCTCAGCTGAATAGATTACAGTTCACAGTTTAAAGAAACTGGAACAGAAGACAATGGACAATCTCACAAGTCTCATACAAGAAAGTTAAAGCATATGAAGTACGAGTCTTACCTGTAATAAATAAATTAACATACTAGAAGTGGCAATCAAAAACCCTAAGATTACAAGCCTTATACTTGTTCCCTGTATAAAGGATTGACTCCCTTGATGGGAAGAGGGTGTGCTTCTGTGTTGTACACCCACTCATCCAATGACATTAGACTATCATCACTAAACAACAGGTACAGATACTGAAACACAAATAAAAACATGATCTTAATGAATATTACTCAGCTTAACAAGACTGCAAGAACACTGATAAAAAGAGCTGATCTTTATATTTTGTTTCATTCCTGTTATTAGTTTTGCAGGGATATTTCCTTATCCAAATACAGTTCATGAGAAGTATTTCCAGTATGAAAATAACACTCCCACATAATTGTTAGTCTTCCCTAGTAATTTCTAGTTAAGTATTAAATAGTCATTAATGTCAAAAAAAACAATAATATTTATAAAATCACTCAAGCATATATTAAATTCACAAATGTTTATTTTGTTATCACATTTGCACTTATTAAACATTGCAGTACACTATGATGTAAAGTAATTGTTACCATGACAAAACTGGTGTCAATTAAAAAAAACACAAATTTACAATTCTATAGAAATATAATAATCAAAATTACATCAACAAAGAAGCTAAGGGCAGATTAAATTCTGGGCATGTATTCTACCCCTAAATTCAGAATGTTCTGTCTTTCCATCTCCTATCTAGAAGAACCATGATTTCACCTTTGTTTTGAATGGTTGTGACTTCTTAGTATCTCACTCTATGGGAAGGACAGAGACTGAGGGAGTATGACAACAACAAAGTTGTAAGGATAATATCAGAACCTAAGAGAAATTAAATAAAAGGATGATGGAGAAAATTACATAATTAGAAGCTTCATGACACTGCTCTGCACTAAATATAACTGAGGTGATCAAATCAAGGAGGATGCAGTGGATGTGACATGTAGCATGCATGAGGTAAATAAGAAATACATTATTTTAACTAGAAAACCTGAAGAAACAGATGACTTTGGAAATCTTGATATATGAAGGACACTAGATATATAATTTATCTAGCAATGTTGCAATTGAGATAGAAGAAGTATGATTTCACTCTTCCTCGATAGTTTTCTTTCAGTTTGACACACTTCCTCTATTTTTCTGGCATAGTACAAATGCCTGAATAGAAGTTTTTTGTAAGATTTGAGGCTTTCACGGTGGTGACTATGAAGAAAGCAGTCTTCTGGGATTTGGCACCGTGTATATGTGGTGTTAACTGACGTTTCGGAGGAACGTATCGCCTCCATCTTCAGGGTAGAAGGAAAAATATAAGAAATCTGCAGGTGAAGAGACTGTGCAGACCGCTTTTACCAGTTCTCACGGTCTCTTCGCTTGCGGATTTCTTGTATTTTTCCTTCTACCCTGAAGATGGAGGCGATACGTTCCTCCGAAACGTCGGTTAACACCACATATACAAGGTGCCAAATCCCAGAAGACTGCTTTCTTCAATAGAAGTTTTTGTCTTACTCCTCAAACCATTCTGAAATATCAACTTTAAGTTCAATGCCACTTGAAAACTGACATCCATCCAAGTGCTGTTTTGGGTTACAGACCAGGAAATAACCACCGGAGGCCCAGCCTAGACTGTAGTGTTGTTGGTCATATTTCTCATGGCAGCCATTCCTTTTTGTGACTTGTGTACAGGAGCATCATTATCACAAAGTTTGGAGAGCCAAATGTGAGTACCACAGGTTTTTTTAACTTGTATTGAAACAATGTTGGCTGTGTTGCATGATTCTTATTTAAGTACAGCTTTTCATTGCAAGTGAATCATTCAGTGATTACAAAAAATTGACTTAAATGTTGATTTGTTAGTCTTAAAATAATGTAAAACCAATTTTAATATTTAGTATGAACTTCTTGTTCTTGGAAGTTTTTCATGCATAAATGCATACATATTTAAGGGATTATTAGGGCACAAAAATCCGGTCCCTACTGATTATACACCTAGTGCTGCTCCTAGATTGGAGGATAATATTAAGGTGGATCTTAAAAAAATATGGAATGAAGGTGTAGGTGGAAAGCTTTCATGCATACAGTAAAGATCTTTTGGATTATATTAACTGACAGGGAATTTATTGATAAGCAGAGCAACTGTCAGCTTCTCAAAACAAACTCTGCTTCCTGGAGCAGATGAGTTAGTTACAGTCTCCATTACAATACTTACTTTCAGTGTTTCTGCGAGGAAAAAACTCTGTTGCACATCGTCCTTTGGTGGATCTTCCAGGTACACGTTTTTTAGTCCTGTATAGCCACCTGCTACTTTACAGTGTTTCTCAATTGCCTACACAAGATAAAGAGTTACAGAATTTTATGAATTACAGTAGCATACTTTTGGACACATACTGATAATATTATGGATGTAAACATAACACATTTTCCTTAGAAATGAACAAAGCATACCATTTTACAAAACTCATAAATTTATGGACATATGCATCTATGTATTCTTAATGAAATTCTTCTCAGAATAAAATTCATCATATAGGGAGATCGAAAAGTTGCACTAAAAGTTGTTATAAATTGTATTGCAGTTAATATAATTATATCTCCTACCGCTAGATGGTACTAACAATGAGCAGAAACACCATCTGTCATGTATGAGTCATACGACGTCTGCAGTATAGCTTTGTTTATTGCATGACAGACATGTCGTTTTCCCAAGAACAAAAAGTTTTCATTGTGGAACATTATTTTGCCAGTCATTCTTATGCATGTGTCAAAGACGAGTTTCGTCAGAAATATCCAGATTCTGCAGTTCCTAACAATTCTACGATAATGAGAATAATCAACTGATTTCAGGAATGTGGATCAGTATCAGATAGGAAGAGATCTGGGAAACCGGTCATTTTAACTGAAGCTAAACTGGCTGATGTGGAGAAAATGTTGCAGCATTCCCCTTCAAAGGCCTGAGAAGACTATCAGCACAATCAGGGATTTCGTACAGAAGGGCTCAGAAAGCGATGAAGAAGTTACACCTTCATGCATATCGTGTTCGCTGTGTGCAGCAAATGAAGGACCTGGATACAGAAAAATGCTTAGTGGACTGTAGATGGTTTTGGACATTTGTTGGCAACCATGGAATTGAAGAGTTTGATCAGGTTTTCTTCACTGACGAAGTGTGGTTTCACCTTAGTGGCTACATGAACAGGCAAAACAATAGGAATTGGTCATCTGAAAATCCACATGTGTTACATGAAAAGCCCTTGTACTGTCAGAAAATTGGAGTGTGGTGTGCTGCATCACATCGTCGAATAGTGGGCCCAATTTTCTTTGAAACAACAGTGAACAGTCCAGTGTACAAAGACATCATTACACAGTTTATTGCACTTCTTGAAGTGGATGATTGCAAGTGTTGGTTGCAGCAACACGGTGCCACATGTCACACATCTAATGAATCCATGCAGTTCTTGTACAAGGTTTTTGGTGACCATCTCATTTTGAAAGAACTGTGCCCCCTGGGCATTCGCCCGATTTGTCAACCGCAGATTTTTTCCTTTGGGGGTACCTCAAAGGAATAGTCTATAAAAACAATATGCATACACTGGATGACCTCAAGAGGAACATTATGACGGCAATTAACAGAATCAGTTTACAGGAGCTCCACAAAGTGGCCTCAAACATGGTAAAAAGAGCTCGTGTATGCATTGCTGAACAGGGAAGCCATTTTGAGCATATGTTGTAAAGACATGATTTGATTTTGCATTTCTAAGCTGTAAGGTTATAAACATTAACAGTAAGTGCTGTATGTCTTGTAGTTTGTGCATGAAACCAGCAAAATATAACTGCATAGTTTGATGTCCACGACTTCTTAAGCTCCGTGTATAAGATATACATACATTTTTACTTTCAAAGCAGGCAATGAAAATACTGATATGAAAAAGCTATCCAATGTTCAATTTCTCTAATAAATTAATCTGCATCCACGATGTGTATGTACTGACTGTCTTCTAGTGCACACAATATCACTTGTCACTTCTGTACATGTTTCGGCATCACTGTGCCATCCTTAGGTGTGTTACTTACGTCGTTTATAAAATGACACATGATGGCGAGCAGTGCAATAGTTTTAATGTAAATAACGCACCTGAGGATGGCACAGTGATGCCAAAACATGTAGTGAAGTGACAAGTGAGACTGTGTGCACACGAAGACGGTCAATACATATACATCATGGATACAAATCAGTGCAACAGGACGCTAAAATACAACAAAATTAATCTGCACAGGAGAATGGAGAACAGGAATTCCAAAATAGTTTAACTTTTCCATAAACATGGATTACTATGTTTCTACTATATGCCAGCATCCACATGGTTTTTGTTGTTACTTAGAGTATGATACAATATGGATTCTTCACCTGCACTGCTTCCCAGCCCCAATCCCGATATTTCTGCTGCTTTGTCAGCCTCCACATAATGAAGTATGACTCTATCACTTCTGGCCGAAGAATGTAATACTTTTCATTGCTCTTGAGTGCTTTAGCCTCAATGGCCTCAGTGAAGCGGAATGCCTCAGGCCCCAACTTTGTAGCTGTACGGTCATATGATTCATGACAGGTGTTGGTAATAGCCTCCGCTATCTCCATGTAGCGTTTGGATAAATCATTCTTCAATGTGTGAGCTCCAAGTCCAATCATACCACCTGAAGACAGAATAGCAGAGCTTAGCCTAGTCTTCAAAACAAAACACAAGTCATACTCAAGAAGACAATGCAACAACACCTGACACATTCCACCTGACCAGTACATGAGATTGCTTAAAAGCTCTAACCATTAGGCACACCATGATGTCCAAGAGAAAATCTACACTGTAGAAAGATGTGCCCAGTGGCAGACGGACTAAAATCTGAGCTTCCAACTAATACTTTAAGCTGAAGAGTACCATCTTCTGGAATGTATGCTGTATAGTCTTGTAGATGTTTTCTGATGTTTTGAAGCTTCCATCTTAAGTGTAGAAGGTAATGACTTTCCTTCACTCTTCTACCTTGAAGATGGAGGCAGAAAATTCCTCTAAAATGTTGATAAACATTTACCAGACTGTAGATCATTACATTGTTGAAGATAAAAAATTTTTGCAGTGATCACGGTGGGGAATCCAAAATCTCAAATACTCAAATACTTATTCATTCTGTTGCCTCTATTACACCATGTGTTTTGATGCTGAAACCTAGTTCAATTTGTTTAGCAGCAACACATAAATCTGCCAACATAAAATTATTATTTTCTGTTATCTCTCACACATAAAACATCAAACTTAGCAAGAGAGCCAAAAAGACTGATGCAAGAATGGATTTACTGAAGGTCTTCATACTTATAAAAAGAACGCAAGTTTTACTTTAATATGTTATTCAGTTCAGACAGGCAAGGTGGAGGGTTATGTGAATAAATAGTGTCTGTGTGTGTCATTTGTTCAATGAATCTTCCACTTCCCCTTTAATATCCATGTCTGTAATTGACTGCAGGTCTAATGTAGTAATTACACCATTAGAAATTTACCACAACTTTTTCCTTACTATACTGCATATGTGTTTCACTCTAAGGAACAATGTTATGGTGGTTACATTAAGGATAATTAAAGAGAAACTGAAAAAATTCAGGTATTACTTGTATCACTGACCTGAGAAACATGCTAGATGGTCCATCTTATGTTCTAGTCGGTCAAACTTCATGTCAGAAATATATGTGAGACCACCAGATGATACCTTAAGCATATACATCAAAACATAATGTATTGCATCATCGTACATCTGTCGTGCTTCCTGGTCTTCCCTCCCTGACTGAAGCCACGCCTTCAACAAGTACTCATAAAAACTGTCACCAAGACCTCCCATTGACATGTGATCTGCAATAAAGGTACACTGTGATTTCAAATTCAATCCAACTGTTAACTAAATAAATGAATAATTTAAAGACTAAGAAACTTCGATGAACTTGAAAGGTCATTAGGTTTTCAAGGCTGGAGTTTAATGTATCATTATTATTTATTATTATTGCTAGTGGGGTGGGAGTAAGTCCCTTGTACTGCAGCCACTTCTGGCCTATTGTACCAGCCCCAGATGATAGGTGAGGGTGATTGTGGAGCAATTGATGGAATGAAGATTGGCAGGGGAAACCGAAGTACTCACAGAAAACCCGCCCCAGCGCCACTTTGTCCACCACAAATCCCACTTGACCAGACCTGGGATCAAACCCGGGCTGCCGCGGGGGGAAGCCAGCGACTAACCTCTAACTAACTACCTAACTAACTAACTAACTAACTGGCAAGGCCAGTTTAATGTATCACTTCAGTCTTCAGGAATAAGGCACATATAGTGCTGAAAGTTTTCTGTTTTAGCAAACACTGCAGTTGCTGTCTTTAGGGTATGGACTTTGAGAGGGTTTAGGTAGCTCCTATATATATTTCACAGCAAATGGTGAGTCAGAAATGAAGCAGTGAAGTAGAGAAGCTGGGTGCTACCCAGTAGGGAAGTCACTAGATGGATAATGAAAGAAATAATGAAAAATGTTTTGGAGACCAGATGGTCCTGAAACAACCTCATGACCTACACTAGGCATGCACAATCTTTTTCTTTCAAAGAGCCAGACTGGAAAATTGGCTTTTGTCATTAGTATATATGGAGCTGGGAATCAGAATTATCTAGCTTCAGAAACATCGTAACATACTGATTATTTAATATTGCAGTATCACAGTAGCTTGAGGTGATACTTTCAAAAATAAATTTTTCAACCATAATGTAATAAAATCAACACGTAATATTATATTATTATTTATTTTATTTATGAAGGACATTTGTCTATTTGTCTTGTGCATTGACCCTAGTACCAAGGCTCAATAATTATGGCTTTAATCAGAGTTTCAGCTGCATGAGCAAATTCTGACATGTTACTATTCCAGCTGAATGTAGATAAGCTAATAAGGAAAATTTAATTGGCAGACGATTCTTATTCAGTACTGAACTATGAAGAAGAAACTGACAAAAGATCATTTTTTCTTCTCATGAAATTTTCACTCTAAGGCACAGAAAATGTGAGACACGAAACCATAACAAATTTCATGAATTAAAAGAATGGCAGTATTTGATAATTTTCCTTACTCCCTCTGTGTGAATGTTGAGATAGTGCCTTAAATTAGACCATGACCACTTCCTTGAACATTCTTTCCAGTTTATTATTCACTAATTTTCTTAACATTAAACACTGCATAATGAGGTACCAAAAGCATCATTAAATAATCCATAAATACACAATAAATAAATAATGAATTGTATTTATGGTAGAAAAAGGAGCTCAAAAAAATCATTTTCATATGTTGTGCAAACAGGATGTTATTTTTAATATTTATTTTATGTTCATGGTTTTAAGACCAGGAGGTTTCAGAGTTTGAACTTCTTCCCTTATAAGGAAATTTTAGATATTCTGAAAATAGATTTTTTTTTTTACAGATTGTACAGAGTTGTTACACAGCAGTGGGACTTGAACCATCAGGTGCATAAAATAGCAAATTTCACTCTTTTTTTACCAACTGCATAAAATCTGTGCAAGTTGCACTAAAAATTGGTCAATGTACAGTAGAACCTCGCTTAACGAGCACCTCTTATAACGAGTACCGTATTTACGCATGTATAGGCCATGTGCGTGTATAGGCCGCAGCACAATTTTCAGACAGAAATTATAGAAAAAATAATTTTCTTGGAATATTATTTCAGGAGTATTACACCCTGTATTACTAATTATGAATATAATTTTTTTTTTAAATGAAGTGTGATTTCGAATATTTCGAATATAAGCCGCACCCCAGTTTTCCTCTTGAATTTTTGGCAAAAAATGTGCGGCCTATACATGCGTAAATACGGTATATCGCATAACGAGCAAAACAAATTGTAAGAAAATGACTCACTTAATGAGCGACGTTTCGCATAACGAGTGACGAGGGAAGTCTCGGATTGTGAGTTTGCTACATCAGTCTGCGTTTAGCACGCCTTCCGCTAGCATCTTAGTGTCGCCTGTGATCACACATTTTTCCAAACTTGTGTTCACATATTATTTGTGCAAAGTTTAATAACACTTGCAAAAATATCCCTGAAGAAAAAGCCGCAAAAAGACAGCCATAAGAGAATAAAAATAACTGTAGAAATGAAACGTAAAATCACTGAAAAGCGAGAACGAGGTGTGAGCGTGGCTGATCTAGCACGCACATACAATTGGTCTACATCAACGATTTGCACGATTTGGAGTTGCATTGTGTTTCACAGCAAGAAGTTGTGGAGGAGAGTTTGTCGGAGGAGGAGGAGGAGGAGGAGGTAACAGCAAAGCAACAATCTTCTGGCGCAACAAGAGAAATGCTGAAAGCATGGGAAACTGTTGCATTGTACATTGAGAAGCATCACCCTAATAAGGCAGTGGCTATGTGCGCTACAAATTTATTTAATGATAATCCTGTGTCACATTTTCACCAAATTTTGAAGCATTGGCAAAAACAAATGTCTCTGGACAGCTTTCTAGTAAAAAAGAATTACATATGTATCATAAATATTAAACTAATTATTTCGATTTTTTTTTTCTGCAAATTGAATTCACATTCCAGGTTGGTTCATTCCACATAGAAGAAAAGATGAAGATGATTCACGCTTCTTAACAATGTATATATAATTTTCTTTGAATAAACGTTATACATAATTTTTTTTAGTATTTTTTTCGGCATGGAACGCATTATTGTATTTTACATTAATTTATACGTGGAAAAACTGTTTCGCTTAGTGAGTGTTTCGCATTACGAGTAAGATTCTGGAACGAATTATGCTTGTTAAGTGAGGTCCCACTGTATTCTTAAATGCTCTTCCTCTCAAGTCTCAACATTACGTAACTTCTTGCATAACTTTCAACAGGCATTCCATATATCATATATTATGTTACAACAAAATGACTAACTATTGTAGATATGGGTCTGTACCTGCACATTCATAATTACATGAACATATTTCATTTTCCCTCGGTAATATATATACAATATATGGTTATGATGTGAAGACACTGGTTTATCATCAATTATCTACTTCATGCACTTACGTTGACCCCATTTGCCTGTTTTTGGATTGATATAGTTGGGATAGAGACCACGTGGTTTGTCCATGCTCTGAATCACACGTCGGATGTGGTCCACTTTGGCACGGTACACTGGGTCACCTGTCACATCTGACAAGTACGCAAACTCAAGATGCAGAGTTCCCACCTCTGACAAAATGCTGCAGCCGCCACTTGCCCAGCCATAATTCTTGCTTGACTGCCAAATAATCGCACTGATTACTTACAAGAATACTGACTGATTACATGCTACATAGGCCAGGTGAAACTGGAATATGTTTTGGATTATGCATTTATTTATTTATGAATTGTTTAGCTGAGTAAGTAAAGTAATGGGCTACGGCTAAAGGGCTGCAGGTTCATTTCCAGTAGGGGCATTAAGAATTCATTCTTTGGCACCATATACACAATAACTTTGAGCTCATCAATAATTACTAGAGGTTTATCTTCCTGGGAACAAAATGGTCAGAGCATGAAGCTGATAAGGTGAAGATGGCCTGGACAAAGAGGAAAAGGCTAAAATGTCTGCCCCTGCAGGGAACTGAACTTGGATTCTCTGCTTATGCAGCCCACAGCCTAGTAACTACACTCAGTAAGCTATCTGTCTTTTATTCTCCCTTAATTAACCTTGAAATGCAAGAGATGATCACACAACACATATTTAAATTTAATTAAAGAGAATTTCAGTGTACACATAAACTGTTTCTTGATGAGAAGAGTGAATGAAATGTTTTACCCCTGTTTTAATGTTGATTAGGGAGTGTGGAATGCCAGTCTGGGTCTGGAATGCAGGCAGCAGCTTCCTTGCAACCTGTTCAGCTTTATCCCGGAAAATAACATCTCCTGTCAGAGCAAAGCATGTCAGAAGACCACCCACAAAACGGATGTTTGTTTCAAATACTGAGAGGTCTGTGGTCTGTAAACAGAAAAGCAATTTACTCTTTACAATATAATACATATTTCTAGGCTTTTCTACATGTGCAAAAGAAGTGGAATACTTCTTCAGAATATGGACTCTTATAGTATTAAAATCATACTAGTTTTGAGCATTACACACAAATCTCTTTAAAACACTACAAACAAAGCAATAGCAGTTTCACAGAGGGGGCACGCGGTGGCGTATTAGTTGAGGCACTATGCCACAAGCTGGAAGGTTGCGGGTTCAAGTCCCGATGAGGTCACTGGATATTTTTCAATTGACCTAATCCTTCCAGCCACACTATGGCCCTGGGATTGACTTAGCCTCTAACAGAAATGAGTACCAGGAATTAATTAAATAATTTTCCTGGGGAGTAAAGTGTGGCCAGCGGGTATGGCTGATGACCTTACCTTACCTGACCTTACCTTACCTTACCTAAATAATGTGGGACCCTCAACGTCTCACAACTCTATGTACCTTCACGGCCTGTTACAGGGATAGCTTTGCTTTACTTTACTTTACTTTTTCACTTAGCAGTTTCACAGAAGTGAGTACAGAGAGGTTAAAAGAAAAAATCAGGAAGAGTTGATTTACAGCTTCAGTTAGTGACATCTCCTACAAACACATCTCCAACATAAACATAGAAATGGATATAAAGTATGTAGTATATAACTTTCCCACTATATTACAAGACCAAAAAATGGGCAAAATGTTTGTTTTGCAGGTTAACAATTAACAACAGTTTGTATGAAGCCTACATAACAACAGTTAAAAAAAAATTCCTAAAGCCAGAACAACCACAATACATACGAAAACCTTGCATTTTACTCAGAAGAAATACATATTGTATAATTTTACATATACTTATATATAATTTTAATATCATGTGATCTTTCATCACAGGAGCCTCTGAAGATGGTCCTATGGACCAAAACATTTAAATTGATTATACTAACTCAAGTTTTTACTACAGCTACTTGCTAGCTGTCTTATTTGCTGACAATTACGGTTTACTGTCTAGCACAGTTCTGATAAATACAGTAAAACCTGTCTTAAACGGAATCTCAAGGGACAAGAAAAAATTCCGCTGAAGCCAGGTTTCCGTTTAATCTAGGTATACTACAATAACTAAACCAGGACATAAACTTATTTGAGACAAAACAAAACAACATGCTCATTAATTTATTCATGCTATAATCACTGAACACATGCAAACATTACACTGAACAGGAAAAAATTGCAGTACTCACTTTTTATAATTTTACCAGAACTCGGGCAGAGTTTTTTGCATGCAGTTTACTCTCTTGGCTGCCTGACTTTCCACAAACACTTTAGCTTGAGAAATTAGAGTAAGCATGTCTGAATCATTCTGTTGCACGGCAAACTCCTGCAGTGCCTTTAAACTGTTGGCAGCATCCTGATAAGTCTTCACTCCACACTTTTCTTCTTCTATCACAATGGCATTTTTCTCTTCTTCCTCTTCCTCCTCCTCCTCCTCTCTTCCTTTTTGATTTTCTCTAACATTCTCAACTAATACATCGATATCCACTGTGTCTGGTTCTGTTTGCACATCTTTGTCTATGTTGATGTAGTCCTCAGCATTGCAGTTACTGAAAGCAGCTTCATTCATGCAATGTTGTAAGTCCTTCTGGGCATTCTCATTTTCTACAGTAGGAGTACCTTCTACCATAGAAAATCCTACTTTTTCGAAACACTTTGTCACAGTTTCTGGTAACAACACCTTTGCTGCTTGACTTAACCAAATAACCGCATCTAGAACCAAGGCAGTTCTTGCAAGTTCAGAGGCGGATGATGTAGAATCTATATTGATGAGCAAAGATTGCATTAATAATTTACGATAGTGAACCTTAACATTCCGAATGATGCCCTGATCCACTGGTTGAGAAACACTAGTGGTGTTTGGAGGGAACCAAGCAAGTCACATGTTGGAAAGTTTGATATGGGGGTGGCATGTTGCGTTATCCAAGAACAACAAAACATGCCGGTTTTGCATTTTCATTCTACCACTGAAGGGCATTAACCATTCCTCCATGATCTGTGACATCATCCATGCCTTTTTGTTGGATCTCCACTCAACAGGAAGTATGTCTATGTTTCAGAAGCATCGTGGCTTTGCTGCCTTGCCAATCACTAAGGTTTTCTCCATTTCACCTGACATAAACTACACGGAAAAACAGTCAATCTTTCTTTGCACAGTTTTCCTCGCAAACATTTTTCACCTTTCAAACATAGCGATTTATTCGGAAGCGCGAGGAAGAACAGTCCAGTCTCATCATTGTTCGCTATGTTTTCAGGTTCATATCCCTCGATTATGGATGGCAATTTAGCTTCCCATTCCTCAATGGTCTCACTATTTACATCACTTGATTCACCACAAAGTTCATTAAAAACTATGCGATGTCTTTTGCGAAAACTCTCCAACCATCCGTTAGATGCTTTGAATTCAGTCTTCCCCAGTTTTTCAGCGACTTTTTTAGCATATTCCTGTACCATAGGACCCGACAACCGGTGATTTTTCGCCCTCACACTGACAAACCACTCCCACACTATTTCATTAATGTCTTCATTTGCAGTTTTCTTAAGTTCTCTTTTTATTTTCCCATTAGCACAAGCTTCCCACCTCTTCAAAATTTCCGTTTTCTTCTTTAGAATCTCGACGACGTTAAACATCTTCATGATCTGCTTAGCAGACGATTTATTTTGCTCACTCGCATGAATCACTTTTAATCTTGTGTTAAGATCAAGCACAACTCTTGTCTTTGTATCCATGATGACAACTGCTAGACTAAAGTAAAACTGTAGGCCTAGAGCCCTTAGAGAATACAATTTCCAGAAGGGAAAACAATTCTGCTGAATCTCAGTGCAGGTAGTGCAGTACCGTTAGAAGCTTATTTTAAAGAGTTAGAGAAAACAAAATTCTGTAGAATGTACAGGATGCCCAAAATTATTCTAAACGATGCACTCCGGAAGATTGGAAATTTTCCGTACAAAGGCTTATTTTGATTTCCACTGTCCGCGTTAGACAGTTTCCGTTTAATCCAGGTTATTTAACATATTTTTCAGCCCCAAAGTCAAGGGACCTGAAAATATTTCCGTTTAATAAAGGGTCCTCTTAAGGCAGGTTTTACTGTACATGTATTTGATATCTATTATACATGAATATGATCAAACTTCATTCTACAAGAACGAGCAATTCATTTAGACAAAGGATCATATAAGTTCCTTTTGAATAGCTAACAGAGTGAAATAGCACTTTCATTTGCATTATGTTTGTGATATGTCCAGCCATTACAGTGTGGCAAATAAAATCTATGAAGTGTTTGTAACACTAAAATACATGTCGATTTCAGAAACAGATGACATTGTCAATAAAACTCTACTCTCTCATACTTTTCCTGTTCTCACTTTATTCAAAGAATTACAGTAAGGCTGATTCTCTTTCAACATTAATTTATAAACTGAAGAAACTGTCTCGGTATTTTCCAAGATGGCACACTAAATTTTCTTTGTAAACACAATTATTATGTAATCTGTTCAGTGAAAACTGTCAAATTTAAATACAACATTAATTAATCAATGGAAACAAAATTTCTCAACAGGCATTCTCGCGAGATCTAGTGAGAAATGTTTCCTTGTGACTATCAGACGTTTTGACACATCACTATTATATAAATCTTCTACACCTATTATTTTGTACATACATACATACATACATACATATACATTTGCGTTTCAGATTATTCACAAATGTGCACAGGCACAGAATATAAAACATGTCAACAAGCCAACAAGACATTGGAAACTTGTACATTCACAAACAAAATTACTAGCATATATAATCCATACTTGTCAAAAAAACACATAAAAAATGTTAAAAGAAAATACAGATTGCAGCAAATACACATACAATAGTTAAAAAGCAATACAAATTGCAACAAGTACACATACAATAGTTAAAAAGCAATACAAATTGCAGCAAGAATATATAAGCACAGCCAAGGACATAGAGTTAAATGAAGTGTACACTGTCAGACACCTCTTGACAGGTCTTGACAGAAAAGCAAGAATTCCTCAACAGTATAAGAAGGGTNGTTGTGTAATATATCTTATAACACACACCCTATTCCCTTGAAACATGCAACTCTCCAGATCAAATAGTTTGTCATGGAACTGCCACACAGCACCAAGAAGGCTTCCCTGTTCCTTCTGCCAGTATGGTATATAAGTCTGGATAGAATTTTTCCTCCCTTGTCACACATTTCAATAATATCCCATAACCTATCCCATATTCTAAACAATAATACTATGTGATATAGACAATTAATAAACCATAATCACCCATGACATATCAACCACTTGCAAACATCAGGAGTTCATACACAGAATGAAATGCCTAAATGCTCCTCATCTTTTGCAACTGAACAGCTGTCTTCAAGACGTTATTGAAAAATTCATATTTCCTATTATTACAAAGTATATCAGTGATAAAATGACTTACTGCCAAGTTGATGTCAAAATTCTCTGCTATCCAATCCCTGCCCTCTTTGAATTCCTCTTCCAAACCCATGATATACAAGGTGTCCAAACCATCAACAATTGTTGCACCCAGGGACATGGATCCAAAGATGCTTGCACTATGACCCCTTTTACTGATTGGCCGCAGCTCATTCTTCCCCCAGGCATAGCGCATATAATTGTCCCACGCATGTTTCATCATCTGCAACAAACAAATTCAAACATGTTAAGATGCTTGATCATACAGTAACATTATAGCTTAGCCAGGTTCAAATGAACTGGAATACGTAGCTGAAATGAGACTTACTGATGTGTTGGCTGCGCCATAGCTCAAGCAGTTAGTCACTGGCTTCCCACCGGGTCTGGTCAAGTGGGATTTGTGGTGAACAAAGTGGCGCTGGAGCAGGTTTTTTCCGAGTACTTCGGTTTCCCCTGCCAATCTTCATTCCACCAATTGCTCCACAATCACCCTGACCTATCATCTGGGACTGGTACAATAGGCCAGAAGAGACCACAGTACAAGGGACTTAGTCCCACCCCACTAGCAATAAAAAAAAATACTGATGTGTTACTCACTCACGCTTAAGAGGCCATAATTTTGCAGTCATGATAACAATTCCACCATACGGATTCATCATTATACAAAACATGCACACTGAATGTTCAAACTCTTAAAGCTCCAATACACTGTCAGGGTTCAGTATACATATACTGTACAGGACCTGAAACAGTGTACCCCATAATGCAGTGCACACAATTACCAATGACGTTCTTTGAAGTCTATAAAGCTTACTTAAAAGCAAAAATAACGAAATGCAAAGTAGTGAAATTCTCCCATTTCAAATTTCAGTAGAATCTGTGGAATCGTTTATAGCACGCACAGAAAATTTCATTTATGTTCTTAAGTACATCAGTACGGATCAATAAGGCTGACAATCGGCCTTGCCAAACAACTTTCGCTAAAAGCCTCTCTTAACGAATTTCAACAAAATCTATGAAACGGTTCATGGGACAAATGGGACAATTCCATTTATGACCTTAATTGAATTGAATTGAATTTATTTACACTCTATAAATCCTAATCAGGTTAGTACCTTTGGATACAGAACAAGTCAAAAGGTTACATACATAAGTACAGGCAATTTTAGCTTAAAAATTAATATAACTTAATTTTACATCATTCTCTATTTACATTGAAGTATTCATCTAAAGAGTAGAAGGAATGAGCATGTAGATAATTCTTTAACTCTGATTTAAACTTTTTAGTATCACTGCCCAAGTTTTTAATACTTTGTGGCAGATTGTTGAACACTTTTATGCCAGTAAAGTAGACTCCTTTTTGATATACTGATAAAGTTGATGAGGGTAAAGTAAAAGTTAAGTAAAATAGGTTTCATTTTGGATCAATATGGTCAACACTGGGATTATCGACAACTTCTAGTAAAAGTATCTCAGGTCAAATATGAAGAATATGTCACGTGGTTTAGGCGCTGAGGTAGGTCAAAGACAGACATGACATCCAAGCATGACGCTCTTTTCCTACTTCGTCTGGAACGCCTAAAAAGAACTAGTATAACAAATACATGGAATGAGTAAAAAATGGAAAATAATTTGTCAATTGGAAATCGTTTGCTCCTGTAGATTAATAATCAGCATGTTACTTATGAAACATGGCAAGTGATGACTAGTTATTTCATGGGTTAGTAAATTCCTCCGGCAGGAAAGACAGAAGTCAAAGATTGCAATATTAAGATTGGCATTGCAAAGCTAAAGCACCACTCCATACCTTTACAGCTCTTAAATATACAAGGCAGCACGCAGTAGCGTAGTTGGTTCAGGCACTACGCTACAAGCCGGAAGGTAGCCGGTTCGATTCCCGATGAGGTTAATGGATTTTTCAATTTATCTAATCCCTCCAGCCGCACTATGGTCCTGGGGTCGACTCAGCGTCGGACATAAATGAGTACCAAGAATCTTCCTGGGGGGTGGGGGGGGGTAAAGGGCGCCCAGCGTGTAAGGCTGACAACCTTATCGCCATCTGTGAGCTGACTGTCTAGAGAAAAATGTGGGAGCTTCGATGTCTCACAAACCTATGGGCCTCTATTGCCTGTTACAGGGATAGCTTTGCCTTTTCAACTCTACAAGAATGAAGATTTACCTCTTTTATTTTATTACGTTGCATCAACGTTCCATTGGTTTCACTGGTCTGCGAGTTCTCAGTTGTTGTTTCTACGTATGAAGTTGTCAATGCATTACAGTCAGTGCTAGATTCTGGTTCAGCAGTGGTGACAGCTGCTGAAACACTATTTGCTTCTGCTGCAGCTTTTGCCAGGGATGTATTCAGCACCACTGGAGGGTGCGACTCCACTGCCAGAGGACGCTGACAAGCCATTAGGACTAACACAAGCGTTACAACAGTCACAAGCGAAACAACTGCATTCACTACTAAATAACGCATATTTACTGTTAAAATGTAACAATTCTGCAATTGTACGGCATCCCTCAATCCGATCTTCTTCAAAGTAGTGTTATAACTTCTTCATAGGACGAGTTTGATTCTACAAGCGAACTGTTCGACTTAAAGAAATGAACGTTTTGATGAACACAAGATAATTTAGTTCGTGTGAACTGCCTATAACGTTGAACGCAGAACAGTCTGGCAGCATCGGTTGTTTCAGAGGCAATCTGATGGCAAGACGAAAGGTTACATGAAATATGATAACAAGCACTGAGTGGATTCAAGGACACTAACTCATGACTTGATTTGCAGAACCCCACCTCATCAAAAAAAAAAAAAAAAAAAATATTAACCATAATTGAAGAAATTTCTTTTAAAATAAATTTGATTCACATGCATGAAAGCTAGACAAGAGACATAGTAAACAGTCGTCATTTAAGTTTAACATGGAAGAAAACTATACACAACAACTTAAAACAAGAACCTCTGGGAAGAATTACTAACCTACTTTCTATTTCCTATAAATTCTGTCTGGTAAACTGCTGCTGTGGCCTTGCGACGAGGTGATCACCTGCCCAAGGAGTCCTACCGTATGTCTAAGATCTAGTAAACCGAAGTGAAACGGAGAGTTTCATGGAGGTAGGCCTAGGCCCAAATGAGGGGTGTAGCGCCAATGGGAGAAGAAAAAAAACTGCTGCTGTACCTTGCCATCTCAGTCTCTCTACAAACTATTGGTCGGTTGGGTAAATTTCTGCTGGTCTTCGCCAACACAGTCAATCTTGTGTTCCGATCTCCTCGGGACCTATGGCTATATTTGTGTTCTTTCCAAGACTTTTCCTTGTTTTAAAACTGGACTTCCTCTTCGACGACAGGCAGGGTATGACAGCTACTGGTCACTCCCCCTCTAATGGGGGTGACTCCAGTGGGCACTCATTCGCTAACTTGCCCTCTCATACACACACACACTCGACTCCATTCTCTCCCATCATTCTACAAACTGACTGACTGCTAAATTGCTGCTGGTCCTCGCCAGCACAGTGATTCTTGGTTCCGGTTTCACTGCCTGACGGTTCTGGGAGCCTTCACCAAAAACTCAGTCAGAGTTAATTTAAGACTGAACGTTTACTGTCAATCAGCCCGTCTTGGCGCCGCCTCTTGAGACTATGACCAGAGTTTTTGGCGGGGGAGGGACAACAGAACCCTTAGTCATACTCCTTATGTAGCATCCTCTCTCGCGAGAGGATGGGTTTGTCTCATATATAGTCAAAGTCAGAGTTATTTACGACTGATGGTTTGACACCAATCAGTTCGTCTTAGCGTCAAGCACCTTGAGACTCACGACCATAGATTTTTATTTTCAATTAAACCCCTGCATTGACAACCTATCTAATTGGAAGATGGGCCTGTCTCTTATGCACATGCTTGGCCTTTCGTCAAGTCTACGAATCGCACATGTATAATGTCATTGAAAATTCCTCTTTTTGCATTGCATACAAGTCCTCTGTCAGTACATGCATTGCAAAGCAGATCATGCCTACATTACGTATAGCATCTTCCAGTTTGGAGATTGTGCGGGAGGCCAACAATTCCTCACTGTAAAAAAGAACAATCTGGACCTCGGATTTGGCCGTATGTTTACTGGAAAGAGCTAAGCTAGTGTTTCTCTAACTGTGGTCCGTGGCGGTCCATTAGATGGTCCGTAGTATTATATAAACCACACAGTATTATATAACATGCACTATATAAAGTATTTTAAATTAAAAGACTGTGCTGACCCACTGCTTAAAAGAATTATTTTAAATTCGTGGACAGGGATGAAAAGTTGGTTATGGCAACTTTAACTACAAATTTTCTCCCGTTCGCAGGAAAGAAAACACAACTGTATGCCCTTTACGGCTAAGGTGAATATTATTAAAGCGGAGTGGTCGCGAGTGCACCACCACATCGGAGTGGATGTATTTAGCTCTGGAACGGGACTTTAATACTGGGGGTTTGCACTCTGGAACTGACGAAAGCCGCGAATCTCCAAACAACACAGATTGCGAGAGTTGAGGTTCTCACTGCGACGAAGCTATGGTCCTCTGGGACATGAACCCGGAGTATTCCGGTAGATGAGTTCCAACATTTCTAAGGAACGTCTCTCTTCTACCCTGATTTGAGGCAGCATGTTCCGTCGAAATGTTCGTACCGATTTTCCAAATTACATGTCGTCATATACCAAAAGACCATAAGCTTAACGCAGATGAGCTACGAAGAAGCCAAAGCAAACAAAAAACAAACTCCGTGGCCTGTAGTCCGCAAGCGAACTATACCGACCGAGCGACCGCCGCTTGTCGGCTAAGTTAGTGCCAACTTTAGCGGATAGACGGTGTCGCGTGGTCAGCGCAACGCATCCCCAAAGTCGTTAATTTCGGTTTTCTAGACCGAAATCGCTATTTTTCCATTCAAGCAGCTCCTCAGTTATCCTCACGAGACTGAGTGAACCCCGTTCCAGACCTACTACTACTACTCAGAAAATGTGGTAGCTCTGGGAATCGAACCCGGGACCTCTGGATCTGTAGCCAGGAACTCTGACCACTAGACCACAGAGGCGGTCAACGTGAATGTGAGATGCCAATTATTTTGCGCATAAGTGACAGTGTCTGAGGATTTTTTTTAACCACAACACATGACAAACAATACAATATGTACATCCCACCGCGGCGGCCCGGGTTCGATATCGGGTCTGGTCGAGTGGGATTTGTGGTGAACAAAGTGACGCTGGAGCAGGTTTTCTCCGAGTACTTCGGTTTCCCTTGCCAATCTTCATTCCGCCAATTGCTCCACAATCACCCTCACCTATCATCTGGGGCTGTTACAATAGGCCAGAAGTGGCCGCAGTACAAGGNTTTTCTGTGGGTGCACACCGTAGCATAGTGGTTAAGGCACTATGCTACAAGTCGGAAGGTCGCGGGTTCAAATACCAATGAGGTTATTGGATTTTTTCAATTGACCTAATCCTTCCAGCCGCACTATGGCTCTGGGTTTCACTCAGCCTCTAACAGATATGAGTACCAGGAATTAAATAAATAATTTTCTGGGGAGTAAAGCGCGGCCGGCGCGTAAGGCTGACAACCTTACCGCCATCTTTGAGCCGATTGTCTAGATAATGTGGGACCCTCAACGTCTCACAACCCTATGGGCCTTCATGGCCTTGTAGAGGGATAGCTTTACTTTTTTACTTTACAACTTTGTGCGGCAATCATGAATATCCGCTTTCTGAGTATGAGCATGCGTAGTCACTGTTCTCTTCACCTTCCTGTTTACCATATATCAAACCACAAGGTTCTTATCTCGCGCGCGCGTGTGCATGCGTGCGTGTGGATGAAAGTTACGTAAAAGTCAAAATGTGGTCGTGCTTCTCAAAAGAAGCGTCGCTACAATAAACAGAAGCAATAAAAGAAGCCAGAGTTACAGCTACTCACGATATGGAAAGTGCACATGGCAACAGCCAAACTATAAGTCGGATATACACGGCCTGTATACGGGGCTCATATCGAAACACCCAACGTAAATGATCTTCCGCCATTATTTTCAAGTTATTGTTCCTTTTCTATTCTAATAATCACTCTATAATTGCAGTTTCTTTATTCTCTTAATATCCAACTAAATATTCGTAAACAATTCAGACTCTCGTATACGACAGCCTTGACTGGTCAATAGCAACGGCACTACAGGCTTGAATTTTAGAATCCCTATCACGTAGCTGGTTCCTGTCATATGCACAGCGACAGGCATAAGACGAGAAATGGCGAAGGTAATGGGGTAATCTAAGCAAGAGAACAATCCCTCATCTGTCAGTTTAAACAGGGCCAAACTCCCGATGTAAGACGGACAATCTATAAGTTTGTTCTATAATACGTTTGGTTTTTATTAAGTCATCTTGGACTTCTGGATTTGAGGTTCTATGGGAGGTGACTATGAAGAGTGTTATCATCTGGGATATGACGCCGTGTACTCTGGTTGAATTTCACCGACGTTATTGTCTCCATCGTCCAAGCTGAAGATATGCTAGGCAAACACAGGGCGCAAGAAGCAAGCAGCAGTTATTTATTTCCAACGCAGTCTCAGTAACAAAATGGCCACGAAGAAATGAATATGAATATACGTACTTCTTTGTAAGGGTCACACGGTAGGGTAGTTGGTTGAGGGGCCATGCTACAAGCCGGAAGGTCGCGGGTTCAAGTCCCGATGAGGTCAATGGATTTCTTTCAATTGCCCTAATCCTTCCAGCCGCACTATGGCCCTGGGGTCGACTGAGCCTCTAATAGAAATGAGTACCAGAAATATTCTTGCGGGTAAATGGCGGCCGGCGAGTAGGGCTGACAACCTCGCCGCCATCTACGAGCCGATTATCTAGAAAATGTGGGAACCTAAACATCTCACAACCCTATGGGCCTCCACGGCCTGTTACAGGGAAACCTTTACTTTTTTTTTTTACTTTTTAAGGCTAAAAGCGTACGTGATGAGGACGTAAGGGTAGACGGGTTTTCAACCAATTTGGCTTAACAACCTTTAAAGTCAGATACTAACAAGTGATCCCCGACAATCGAACTCCGTGTGGAAGTTGCCTTGTAACCTATTTGGGTTCCCGGTTATTGATACAACAGCAAACCTATAACAGCACACACTGCCGGAGCCGCCTTTTCAATTTTTCATAACGGAATATTGGGGTTGGAGAAGGGCAATGCATCGTAGCATACTGTTGTGAAGGCAAGGAAGCGAAAGTAATTCCATACGTCCACAAACCCATATCAATACACATGCAAGCACGTATATTTGATCGTAACGTGATATATGAAGCTCCTAACTAAATTCAATTACTTCTCTGCGTTGACCTCTGCAGACAGAGGTTTTCCTACTGGCTGATCCCCTAACAAGAGTACCTTGGAATATATAACACCTCTGTAGGCAGAGGTTTCCTTGTTGGTTTTTTATTGCTAGTGGGGTGGGACTAAGTCCCTTGTACTGCGGGCACGTCTGGCCTATTGTACCAGCCCCAGATGACAGGTGAGGGTGATTGTGGAGCAATTGGTGGAATGAAGATTGACAGGAGAAACCGAAGTACTCGGAGAAAACCTGCACCAGCGCCACTTTGTCCACCACAAATCCCACTTGACCAGCCACGGGATCGAACGCGGGCCGCCGCGGCGGGAAGCGAGCGACTAACCGCTTGAGCTATGGCGCG